AAAACGATAAAAGCGCTGCTGATATCAAGCTTGGTTACTAAAATAAAGTAGGAAAATAATCACTGAAAAATAATTACATTATCAAGAAGAAAAGCAATTTCTTCTTCCGAAATCACTCTTTTCCGAAGATACTCCGTCCGCTGCATTACTTCTTTCCAGTACATATCTGGTACTATTTTATAAACTAATCTTTGCAAAAATAAATCCCGTCCTATTGCTTTTCCTAATTTCGAACCTAGATCATTCCCACAAACAGGGCATGTTTTCGATACTTTCAGATGCTTGAGCAAACATGACCGACAAACTGAAAATAGAGCATATGAAAACCGCTTCCGACATCAACAGATAAGTGAAAAAAATTCGTAGGCAGCAAACAGCAAAATACTGTTTGTGACTAAAAAGAACAATAATGACATAACAGTGCTAAATGAGGCTTGGGGCTATTACTGTTCGTTATAGATCTTCATTACACCTAGGCACCATCGATAAACCAAAGAATAATGAATGCTACAGAAAGATAACGATTAAACTGTTAAACATTTCCTACCAAATTAAGTTAGTTACACGTAAATGTTTGCTGCTTTTTCTGCCAAAAAAAAAAAGCATCTTTAATAAACTTAAAAGAAATAAATTCAAGAAAAAACTTACAAGAATGGACACATTCCTGAATGGTAAAAGCATCAACAATATAATGCTGGCATAATCTACAGGTTATGTTGTCGCCTAGCTGTTGATGCGACGTCATCACTTTAATTCTATAAAAAATTCCAGCTTTAAGCTTTCCAAAATTTACCCGCTAAGATCTGCTGAAAAAACGAATAAATTTGCCACTGCTGACAGATAGGTATTGTAAATTAAATCGTCATCGGTAACCGTTAAGAAAGTTTGAGCAATAATTGTTTAAAATTCATAGAAAATTAAAAACACCAAATGTCTCCGGAAAAAAATACGGGTAGAAAAACCGTATAACGCAGCAGCTTAACGAAACCAAAAGTAAAAAAAAAAAATGAATAAATAAATAAACGAAAAAGTGTAGGCAGTTAACGTGTTGGAGTGCAAAGCGAATATTAAAGAGTTAAAATCCTCCCAACGATAGCTGCTGAAAGTCATAAGCGGGGAATTTCAAAGGAAATCAACAACACTTGAACAGTACGGAAAAAAGCTTTCAAAAAAAAAAAAAAAGATACAGAGAGCAGAAAAAGCATCAACTATCGTAAGCATAAAATTAACCTTTCACATAGTGTACTACTTAAACAACAAACAAAAACTAACCAAACAAAAGAGAACAAAGAGAAACAGATAACGGACTCATAAACCTTCCCAGTGTTTCTCCACGACTTCTTCTATCTCTCTACAACAAAACAGACCTTAAACTTGACCTCAAATTCATCACCTTTAATCATCAAGACAATGAATAGAGTAAAAAAAAAAATGGAGAGAAGAAAGAAGAAAAACTCCACGAGTACAGATAATCCAATAGCAAATTGTAAAACACTATTACTTTTTACCGCCACATATACAAACAAGAGTGCAACTTTAATAATACCAAATGCTGCTCCAAGTCTACTGCTAAAACTAAAACAATCAACACTGTATACCGATTTCTGTTTACGGAGACAAATAACGCCTAAGCAACGGTTCTGTTCCGGCAAACCAATTAATGTTGGCCCCACAAAATTATGCAGGTTAATTATTTAGCTACAGTAGGTTGCAGTAAACAGAAATTGCTTAAATTAACAACAATAATCCAGTAGATTGATAGATTGAAAATTGACTGGTTAACGACTGCCACAGCAAACTCAATGGGTCAACAGCGGCAATATCAACAGGAGTAGCAGCAGCAGCAACAGCAGCGGCAGCAGCAGCAGCATCGACAACAATAGCAACAGCAAAAGTAAAACTGTGGCCATGGCTCGTTTGGTCAGTGCCGATTTCACAGTTACAGTATAACCGTCGTTCATCGCACAAACACACACACAGACACACAAAAACACACCCAAAAACATCAACCCTGAAAATACGTCTACATAAACAGAGTCCGCAAAATCGCAGCTATTGCCATTACTACAGTTGCACCGTGATCGTTCTAAAACCTGTGTGCCATCTCCGCTGCTCCTCTTTTTCCCCAGTCGTCACTACTACTACCACCATCAACAGCACCCAACAATGCATCCCATCATCCATCAGTAGTTCAGCCAGTCAGTCAGTCAGTCAGTCAGTCAGTCAGTCATTCAGTCAGTCAGTCAGTCAGTCAGTTAGTATGCCATCGCGATTCTGCTTTTGTGTGCGATACGGAAATACGCATATACAGACACAGACAGACTTTGATATCAAAACACCGTACTAATATGATCGGCATTTCTCTTTTGTTTGTTAAAACTGATTTTGCATCAAAGATAAAACATACAGATTGAAACTTAGAATTCCTCCGTTTACAA